TGTTTTTTTTTATTGTATAAAATGTGAATATATGAAATTACAAATAATACAAAAATAAATTTATCATGCAAATTTTTATTTAACTTAGTAGAGTAAACAAAAAATATATAGATTTAATAATAACTGAAGCTGAAAAGATGGACAAAATAAATATACTGGGAGTATTTAAGTTAATATTTTCAAGCCAAACCGTCCCTAAATACACATACAGTACAAACATAATTTTTTAGACATAACATTAAAGATTTTTTGTTTTTGGAAAATAATAGAGGATTTACCTCGGAGACGCAAAATGTCTAGAAAGACCCATGTGTGCTGTGTGCTTATATATCTGGTTCATTTTTTACCATTCTGTTTTTGGTTTGCGCCCAAGTTAGGATCATATCTCAGTCCACAGACGAGACAAAACGAGCATCATACAATCACAGTCCCAGCATTGGCAGACACTATGGAGGTCAGAGGTCATATATGGACACTCATGTGCTCCTATGTAATACTGATTCCATGACACAGAAATAAAAAAGATGAATTATGGATGGCTGATATGTGAACAGGTGTTGTGACTGGAATTTAGATCCCGCACCAATGTCAGCGCAGTATTTATTGATCACCAATTTGTTGTAGTTCAGTAGGTTCAAGGACAACAGTGCGCTTGCTATGTGAGCGTTGCTCTATGCTTGGACATGAATTCATCACATGAAGCTTTATGTGATGCAATCCAGTATATTAATCTCACATTTCCCTCCATTACAGCCCCATTGAATTGCTGTCTCTTATGTAATCCTAGTTAAAGTCGTATCCGCCTATTGATCAAAACTGACATGATATTACACGCAGTAACATTTGATAAGCATTCAGGGTGTGGAAATTTCAAATTCAACAGGATGATATTGATCCTGGACATGTGAGTTTAAGCGTATAAGAGTGTGCGTGTGTGTATCTGCGAGAGAGACAGATGAGGAAAGGGGATATCTCAGTCAGGTCTTTTCTCTCAGCACCTTAATGAAAGTCTGGTTATTGCGATTCAAGGTTGAATTCATTCGCGTAGAGGACAACGTTCTCTGTGGGCATTCGCAAATGGCATCTGATGAAACAAATTATGAATGTTGATGACCGCAGCCACGTTCGCAGCCAGAAAATAGCTCTTCGCAGCTGGTTTGTGTCCAACAATTAGTGTTGTAGGTAAACAAATAGGTTACACGGTCATTCTATTAGATAAAGCGGCGCGTCAGCTGTGACAGAAAAATATTTCAGCATCTTGTAAGGTTTTACGTTGTGAAAATGTATTGTTAGCTCTCACAGCATGTCCAGTTCATATCTGTATTATTCATAAGGAAATTGTGGGTCATCCATGGCTGATTTATTGCCTCTCCAGACAGATGGTTAATCAGTTTCTTGGACAGGCTCTTGGTGGATTGCAGGTGTGTGCTGGATTGGAAACAGCATGGATAAATATTTTATTTACTTTCTTTTAAAATGCTAATATTTGCCTGATAGCAGCTTTCGGGGGTTACTTCTCTATAGAGGCGTGCACGTCTTATTGTGCAATATTAATGCTAAATATTTGGCATGCATAACACAAGCTTGTGCTTCTGAGCGAGATGGTTCACCCAAAAATAAAAATTGTCATCACATTCTTTACAATGAGGTTCATTTTGTTAACATTAGTTAAAAGGATGGTTCACCCCCAAATAAAAAAAAAAAATTATATATATATATATATATATATATATAGTTAATTTACCATCAGGTCATCAAAGATGTAGATGGGGTTTTTTTTCAGTTGAACATTAATCAATATTTGGTAACATATTACAATACCGTAGTATTATTTAATGTTAGGTAATGTATTTATTAAGATAAATAACAATAAACAATAAACAATACATTTATTATAGCATTTGTTCATGTTAGGTAATGTTAATTAATGAAAATACAATTCATTAGACAGACTGTGCATTAACTAATGTTAACAAGCATCAATTTGGATTTTAAAAAATGCATAAGTAAATTTTGAACTATGAATAATAAGTGCTTTACAAATATCGTTCATGTTAGTAAATACCTTAACTAATCAAGCCTTACTGTAAAGTGTGACCCAAGACTTTTAGCTGAATCTTTGGTGTATAATGCAAATCAGTTACCCATTTTTGAGAGAATAACCACAATAAATATGCACAAACAAGTCCAAAACAGTCTTATGGTTTCTGATGACACACTGAGGTCCTATGACGCAAAATGATTACTCTGTGCAAGAAACTGAACCGTATTTACAAAATTGTTATTTGATTGCACACTTGAAAAGAGTGTATAATGTACATTATACCAAAGTGATTCTTACCCAACCCAAGCTCATACTGAAAATGTACCCCTTTTTGCAAATCCACCAGAGGCCGCTGTGTATGCTTTTTAAGATCTCAGATTTCTCTTGCGAGTGGCGTTTGTGCCTGCTGTTTTTGTGTAAATCCACCAGAGGCTGCTGTTGACTGACTGACTGACCGATTGACTGACCCATCCTCCTCCTTCCCTAATTCCAACAAATAGTGTTTTCAAAAATACTGATTGTCCCTTTTTAAAGATGAAATGCAACCATTGTACTTCTGGCTACATAATTCTCCAGAATGTGTAAAGGGCTACGTTTTCAGAATGAGCCTATGTTGGTCTTATGTTTTCTTTGAATGCCATCTACACGCATGTTAATTTCAAGTCTCACAAAGAAACAGCACAGGAGTATGTGTAAAACAAGTATTTATTGAACATATTTAAACAGAGTCGTAACTGAGGATTCTTAAAGTTAGAGGGAATACGCAGAGAAGTCTGTTGCAGACACACACGACTCACACAAGCAGGGAAATCTAGGAAGACGTAAACACCAGAACATACAGGTAAATACCAGAACTCAGGAGATCGCTGGAAACCAGGAGAAAGATCATTGTGGAGTATTCTCATGGAAAGTTTGGTGGATGATGCTAGATGTGAGTATCATGACTGACGATGACTGAGTGAAGGTGAGTGCACTTTATAGTGTGTGTAAGTCTATTATTAACTTAATATTCTAGTCAGTTTGACTGATGTAGGTTGAGATGACTAGAAAAGTAAAATTGATTCAACTAAAAAAAATTAAGGCAGCAAGATGTTTATCGTTCTCCCTACGTTTCTACCAAGGTTTGTTCTACATTCATTCATTTTCATCTGCTTTTCTGGGGCAGCAGTCTCAGGAGAGAACCCCAAACTTCCCTCTCCCCTCTCCAGCTCCTCCAGGGGGATCCCGAGATGTTCCCAGGCCAGCCAAGAGACATAGTTCCTCCATCGTGTCCTGGATCTTCCCAGAGGCCTCTTCCTGGTGTGACAGGGGGTCCTTAGGTAGGTGTCCAGGAGGTAGTCAAATAGATGCCGAGCCACCTCAGCTGACAACTCTCGATGTGGAGGAGCAGCAGCTCTACTCCGAACTCCTCCCGGGTGACAGAGCTCCCCACTTGATCAATAAGGGTGCGCCCTGCCACCCTGCAAAGAAAACTCATTTCAGCCGCTTATATCTGAGAGTTTGTTTGAAAGCTCATGACCATAGGTGAGTGTAGGAACGTAGATTGACCGATAAATCAAGAGCTTTGCTTTTCGGCTCAGCTCCTTCTTTACCACAATGGACAGGTTTATCGACCGCATTACTTCTGCTGCTGCACCAATCCGCCTGTCAATCTCACTCGTGAACAAAACCCCAAATACTTGAACTCCTCCACCTTAGTAAAGATTTTCCTCCAACTTGGAGATGGCAAACCACCTTTTTCCGGTGGAGCACTATAGCCTCGGACTTAAAGGTCTCATCCCGGCCACATCACACTCAGCATGTTGAAGGTAAAAGTTTGATGAAGCCAACAGAACAACATCATCTGCAAATAACAGTATTTGTCTTGGTTTGTTCTTCATTTCCGTCAATTGGACTTTTGGTTCCTTTCCTCTGTCATGTTTCGCTTGCTTGTTGTTACAAGACTTATATAATATAATATATAGTATAATATATTATAATCGATGTCAATGAGGTAACTATATATGGTTCTTCACCCTAAAGGGTTATACATACCCTGTAACTAAGAAACAAGAAGATAACAGCCACGTTTACACTGTAACAACACGGAGCAATTAGTTTATGCAAAGCAAATGACAGAGAAAATGTAGTTTGATCCTGCTTTCTCTGGTTACCTTGCTTATTTTCAGTTTTGCTCATATCCTCTACTTTTCGTTATAAAATCCAATCAACCAAAACCTGATGCGAGTGTTGTGTTTTTAGTGTTGTATCTGGTTTTGGGGAGAAGTGCTGAAAAGACATTATTTTCAGCTGCATTGCACTTTGATTTTGACTTTAATTACAATAAAGACACACCAATTTAAGCCTTAATAACAGATAAAGAAATATCACCACCTAGTCTAACAGTGCAGGCACATCCAGGGACGAACGCTGCGACGGAGCGTCTCTTCCTGTAATTAATAAGCAGAAAGCATCCTGGGTTTGGCTGCCACTGCTCATCTGCACTGTTAGATCACTTCCAGACATATTTCAGTCTGTTTATGTCTCCTTCCTTTGACTTTCCATCCTCTCGCTCGCTCGCACACATACATACACACACCTGCTTGGTCTTTTGATCCCGGATTTTTGCTATCTTAAACTTCTTTAAAGGCTTAACATGAAAAATTTCCATTGACCATGCAATTAAAGACGATCATGCTCTTTTGAATAAGGTATTTTGCCACAACATTTTAAAAGATTTTGCCCTCAATCAATACCTTTTGGTTCTCTCTCTCTCTTTCTCTCTCTCTCTGTGACACATTCTCATGTAGAAGCCGCAGCCTCCAGCGCATAACATCTACTCAGCGTAATAGGCAGAGATTGGAAGGTGGAGCGGCCGGAGAGGAGAGATACTGAGAGAACACAGATAGAGGGAGAGAGAGAAAGGGGGAGGGAAAGAGTCTAATGACAGCTAGAGAGGTATTCTGAGGGACTCCTCACTTTTACAAGAGGTTTGGGCGCTGAAAGACTTTTTGTGGCCTTATTTAACACACTTTTGACTCAGTTTTTGGAGTGATGATCTACTGGTCTGTTCAGAGATTTTTTTATGATCAAAACTGGACGAAGATTTTTATTCTTTAGTTCCTATGCCGAAATTCTTCCAGAGTTGAATATCATCTGACATAAGAAAATGAGAGCAGCGTGGAGGGTCTTCTTTCTTCTGTGCGTCCATCTGCAACTGGCGTATGGTAAAGTCTGACCTTCGCTTTTAACTTTACGAGTAACTCGCTGTAGTTACACAATGGCCAGTTTCCTGTTTATTTATTGATGCAGTGTGAATGAGAAGGTGTGAATGACTCCGGGGGCGTTTTGTGTCAGGATATGATGCTTAATGGGTGCTCTAAAAGTGACAATAAATAATTATGCACCTTGCCAGAAGGAAGCTGTGTTTATAATCGGTTATTAATATTTTATTATTTATTAAATAATGTTATATTATTATGTCTGGTATACTGAATTTAATTATTATTTAGAATACGGTCCCACTTTATATTAAGTGGCCTTAACTAATATGTACTTACATAGGAATTAATAGTTTGTTACAATGTACTTATTGTGTAAATACATGTATTTACTGTGTACTTATGCTTGATTTAATACATGTATGTACTTACATCTGTAACTAACTTTTGTAATTACATTTGTAAATACAATGTTGACCATCCCTTACACCTTAACCCACCCTTAAACCTACCCACATCACCAAACCTGTCCATAACCCAACCTCTATCCCAACTCAAAAGCACCACAAGTGTTCTCAAATACATTATAAACACAGTAAGTACATTGTATTTATTTTTCTGATGTAAGTACATAGTAGTTAAGGATACTTAATATAAAGTGGGACCTAGAATACTACTTTCATATTAATAATAATATTATTATATTATAATTATATAAAAAGTCATTCATAATAGCTGTCATCATATTTGTATATTGAATGAATTTATTTATTTACTCTCCTGTTAAAAACACACACCCTAAAATATTTTGAAGAAAGTTGATAGTCAGTATCTATTGACTTCTGTAGCATAAATTCACAAAAGATGATTCACTGGATTCACTAAAAAATGTTGAGGTAAGTGATTGCAAACAATCAACAACAACAAACAAACAAATTAAATTTAGTAATGTTAAACTTAATTTGCTTGTTTAAATTCAGCCTATATAAATTGTTTGTAACCACTAACCTTAAAAAGTTTTAGTAAATTCAGTAAATAATTTTTTAGTGTATGAATATTAATATTAATAATTCCTTACATTTATATAGCGCTTTTCTGGACACTCAAAGCTCTTTACAGATTACTGGGGGAATCTCGTCATCCACCACCACAAATGAACATAAATGGACATAAATGACTTCCAGTTTTCAACATTCTTCAAAATCAGGAAGAAAATCTCATAAAGGTTTGGAAGCACTAATGGATGAGTGCCCATCCGGCACAGGACATCAACATGACGTCAGATTGATGGTGTACCCTAACATCGAGGGACGTTGCATTTTGTTTGAAAATAACAATCAGGGGTGCGTTTCTGAAAACCATCATTAGCCAAATAAGGTTGCAAGTTTCGTCGTTACAAACATAGTTAATTAATTTGGCGTTTCCCAAGTCCATCGTTCCAACAAATATTCACGAACTGCATGGCAAACTTCTATGCTTGCAACTACACCTCTGGAGCTGTAGTTAGAAACATAGTTCCGGGTTGTGTTCTATTCCACACATTAAGGTCATCTCTCTTAGGTGTAATTTGCTTTCAAAGTATTTTTACGGTTCAGTTTTAGCGTTCTGCATGTTTACAACTGTGCTTCCTTCGCAGTGCACTTCAAAACATTGATGTCATTTTGAACACAGCCGTGGCTTATGACGAAAGCTATAGCTGACCTATTATTTAAAAGCGGGATTTATGTTACATCTCCTAAGCTTGTGCAAAAAACATAGCATACGTTAATGTTTTTAATTTATAGTGGCTTATTTATTAAGTATCTGTACTGTATATGAAATGGGCCTGTTGGTTAAAACATTTCTGCAGTGGGTTGTATATGTCAAATTGTAAAAGTAGACTTTTCAAGAAGTAAAAAAAAAAAAAAACAATGTCCCACTTAATAGTAATTATAACAATTATAATAATCATCATCAACAACCTCATAATTATTATTGATATATTAAAGTTAGATTTTTTTCATTTCCTAATAAATAATAAATATGACATTTAATCTCGTTATTTATTTATTTATATTATTTATATATGATATTAGAATATGTGTTAGCTTTTGTATGTGATTTTGTTTTAGAATAGAATATACAATAGGGAAACACAGCCCCTATATGTGCCATTTACATATATTTCAGTTAATATGGAGTGCATGTTTTTACCAAAACTAATATTGGATTTTTTTTTTAAATGCGAGTGTGAAAATAGTATAATTTGCACAAAGAAATTATGGGGTTCTTTACTAGAGGAGTTGTTACCACCCCGTTTAGAACATCATTCTGGGCATTTTAAGTTATAACTAACGTGGTACAAACAATGGATCTGTGACAGAAAAACAACGATTTTGGGAAACACTCGTCACTACATCGTTTTTCCCCCAAACGATGCATCGTACTATGATAGTTCAGCTGTGAGTTACATGGGAAACGCAACCCTGGTTGATGTCAAAACCCAACAACAGGCTGACTTCAATGTCCAACATCGGACAGACTTTGGATTTTGGTCACTTTCCAACAGAACCTAAAAACAATTAAATATCAATGTTTAATGATGTTACAGCTTGACGTTGTGTGGACGTTACCACTATGATATCTTTCAGATGTTGGATTTTGGTTATTTGTCATATCTGACAAATAGGGCGACACGGTGGCGCAGTAGCTAGTGCTGTTGCCTCACAGCAAGAAGGTCGCTGGTTCAAGCCCCAGCTGCATCAGTTGGCATTTCTGTGTGGAGTTTGTATGTTCTCCCCGCATTCACGTGGGTTTCTTCAGGGTGCTTCGGTTTCACCCACAAATCCAAAGACATGCGGTACAGGTGAATCGGGTAGGCTAAAGTGTCTATAGTGTATGTGTGTGTATGAGTGTGTATGGGTGTTTCCCAGTGATGGGTTGCAGCTGGAAGGGCATCCGCTGCATAAAACATATGCTGTATAAGTTGGCGTTTCATTCCGCTGTGGCGTCCCCGCATTGATAAAGGGACTAAACTGAAAAGAAAATTTATGAATTAATACCTGATGAATAAATGTCAGTATTTGACATCAATGTGTTGTTGGTTTAAGATGTTGGCGCAAATTGTATTTTGGTCACTTTCCAACACAATCTAAAATCACAACACAGGCTCATTCTGAAAGCGTAGCCTTACTGTATTTACGTTTCTGAAGATCTTAAATTATGTAGCCAGAAGTACGTATGACTGCATTTCATCTTTAAAACAAATGCTACGGGGCGGTATGATGCTGTTCCTTTTCACGCTTACCAGTTGACAGCTTAACAGCATGTGGACAGCTTTTGCACTGTAAACAGTTTGTCCGGTAGCTTGACGCGTATGTTGACGGACTTGAGATGCGGAGCGGAGTTGCCCGTGAAGACAGGGTTTGGGTCCAGTGAAGAATGGTTAAATAAGCAAGTAAGACAAAAACAAAAGCCAAAATAAAGTAAAATAAACAATTAAATAACAAGGTAAGAACGTGGTAAGATCTGAAAACGTGGTAAAAATCAGGCGGCCGCAAGAGCTTTTCTTGTTCTGGATTGCTTTCCAAAACACTGTCGGTTGGGTTTAAGGAAGTGGGTCAGGTCAATCTGTGATTTTGAAAATGCTATTTGCTGGGTTTAGGGAAGAGGGAGGGTGGGGAAATTGTTTGGTTGGTCATTTAGTCAGTCAGCCTCTGGTGGATTTACGTGAGAACAGCAGCTGCGATTGGCACTCACAAGAAAATTTTGAGATCTGAAAAAAATTTACACAGGTGACTCAGCTGAAAAACTGCAAAAAAAGAAAGAGAAAAAAGTAGCTCCTGGAACGTATTTAGCACTCTCCAGAAACATATATAGGGGTACTTAATCAGAATGAGCCTGGGTATAAAATCAACCAAATATCAACATCATTTCATGTCGTTATTGGATGTCAAAATAACATTCTCCTGAAATGCTGGCAACCTAAATCTATAAATGTCTTATGATGTTGTGTGTCTGCTGTCTAAATGTGAGAAAATTTTTATTTTGGCCAGAACTATGCCTTTAATGATTGAGCTTTTGAAACTTTAAACACACAAAAAATGCTTTGCCCTTTAGTGTTTTCCATGAGCCCAGCTCATGCCCATGCGGAAGAAAGACTCCTCCAGTCTTTGTTCATCAACTACAACAAGCTTTCACGTCCAGTAGCAAACATCTCTGATGTGGTTCTGGTCCATTTCGGCTTGTCCATTGCTCAGCTCATTGATGTGGTGAGTCTCAGATATCCTACTTTTTTCTTTTCCTCTAAATCGTACAGTCTCACCATAAAGTCACTTTCCCTTTTTTTATTACTCTCTTCTGTATGGAAATCTCACTTTGCTTCATAAAACCAGGATGAGAAGAATCAGATGATGACCACAAATGTCTGGGTGAAGCAGGTATGTTTTCATCTAAAAAAAAAAAAACGCCCATAATTAGACATTAATGAGATTTTTAATTGGAACTGGGCTCTTGTTGCTTCACTCTCCACCCCTGTCATACATGCTGGTTGTGAGCGGTGATGAGCGCACATGTTTCCCTGCAGGAGTGGAACGACTACAAGCTGCGCTGGAACCCAGAGGAGTATGAGAATGTCACCTCCATCAGGATCCCCTCTGAGATCATCTGGAGACCGGATATTGTGCTCTATAACAAGTGTGTGAGGCCTTTTACAAATCCGGAATTTAGCCAAATCCATTTCTTAAGATCGACATCATCAAACACTGTTAACCTCCCACCGTTCCAGCATTGTGAAAGGTTTCCGCAATTCGGTTTGATTTCATTCTTTCACTTTGGAGGTCTGTTAATGTTTTTTTCCTACTCAATCTCACGGCAAATCAGAAGTTTTTGATTTATTTTAAATCCAAGACAGAGTTTCGGACATGAGCAATATGATGATATTTTTGTCTTTTAACTTTTTTTTTTATTTTTTTTTTTGCTATTTGAAGCTGCTTTACAGCTGAATTTGAACACATTTTAAAGTTGATGATATATTTGCATTTCATAATTGCAACTTTATTATTTAGTTATTTTTTCTTTATTATATAAAATAAAATTAGACATGTCGTTGGACAACAGGGGTTTGTTCTGTAGCCATTTGGGGGAAGGGTAACAATATTAACCTTAAAATGATTTTTTAAACTTAAAAAATGGATTTATTTCAGCCATAATAATATATATTAAGTAATAAACTTTACTATATACATTCATATTAAATACAAATGCATGCTTAACAGGAATAAACTGTATTTTTTATTAAAATCTGAATAAATATGTTATAATATAATTTATTTACATTTTTATAATCTCATTCGTACATTTAATTATTTAAATGACAGTTGGGTTTATGGGTGAGGTTTGGCCGCATCCTAAAAATTGTATGTTTTCTTCAGAATTAATTGAATGAATAAGCCACTTTTTTTGACAATATGTCCAATATGTTTTGCTTCCTAAGGGTAGTTGTCATATGGGGGTAATATTTGTAATATTTAATCACCTTTGCATCTAGTTTGTATGTCTTTGCAATACATGAAGACTTGATAATTCAGCTCTAATTAATTGAACCTAGAAGGCGCCATGGCTGGGTAAAGCTAGAGCTTAGTGAATAGGAAATTACAATGAATATTTTTTTACTACAGTATTTGCTGAAATATTAAAAGTAAAACTGCACAATGGTGTTATTAAGACTTTCAGAAAAAGGAAAAAAATAGTGTGAGACTGATGACGACAAATAGAGGAGAGAATTGTCAGGGGTGTGAATGGGAAATGGGGAAAAAGGAGCGAGGACTCAAGTGCAGAATAAATGGGAATTTATTAAATAATAAAAATAAAATAAAATGCAAAATAAACTACCCCGAGGGGGAAAAGATTAACAAAACAAATACATACAAACAGGACTGGGCAGGCTGGCAACGATGATAACTGGAAACATGACAAGACAAGACAAGACAAGGGTTTAAACAACAACATGTGATGACGAACTGGCACAGGACAGCAAAAGTGAGGGGTATATAAACTGTAGAAAATTAACACAAACAGGTGAACACAATTAACTAATAATGGGTTAACAAGGAGGGTGGGACAAGACAAGAGCGCATGACACAGAGACAACACAAGCCATGCGCTCACTTAACAGGACAAGAACATGCAGCCAATGAGAGAACTCATTAACCGCATGTTCATGACAACAAACACAACACTGAAGCACACGACAAAAGCATGTGACCACAATGTAAACACCAAGCCACGTGCTTTGACAAGAGACACAAGACACGAGCACATGATAGATAAACACCTTACCGTGCGCTCACACATAAGCAACGCGCATGCTTCATCTCAGCGCCAACCAAAACTGAAACCAACTAGACGGAGGCGCCGAGAATAAAGCAGCGCGCTACTGACAGAACAAACACAAACACAAGTACAAGAGCGCGCGCGTCTGAGGGACGCAGAGCGTGCGCGGCCACATCAAGTGGCAGCGCGCACACTCTGCGTACACCCACGACGGCGCGCGCGCGCACACACAGAGACAGAAACAGGACCAGACATGGAGTAGTGTCAGAGCTCTGCCACCAAAACAAGAATTTACAAGACCAAAGTGGCAGAACCCTGACAAGAATAACATCAAATCTACTCTCAGCCCCGTAGACGCTGCGTTACGAACACCTCACATAGGCGGTAATTTGTTTTTTGAAGCTTGACGCAAAGATGATATAATACTTTCATAAATGCATATAAATACTCATACATTAAAAAAATTAATGTAAGGATTTAAGATAATAATGACCGTTAAACATGTCATAACAGACTTGTGAAAGGGTCCATGGCGTAAATAAGTAAAATCACACATCTTTTACTTTAAGGTGCATTATGTAGCCTATTTATTTTGCATTAACAGAAATAATTTGGTCTGTATATAAAAATCGCCCTCTATATCATTACATAGTGCCTTATTTGAGGGAGCAACCATTTGCAGTGATGTCCTTGATCCATAGTGGATGTTCTGGCTTCCATTCAATCAAACCCCTAATGCACTACAATAACGAGTGTGAAACCAATGTACACTTAACAGCTAGAGCAGGGGTGCTCAAGCATGTTCCTGGAGATCTACCTTCCCGCAGAGTTCATCTCCAACCCTGATCAAACACACCTGAACCAATTTGTTAGGACCTGAACAGCACTCGATAATTACAGGCAGGTGTGTTTGATATGGGTTGCTACTGAAATCTACAGGAAGGTAGATCTCAGGAACAAAGTTGGCCACCCCTGGGCTAGAGAATTACCTTAAGGCACTGTGATTGAGAGTTGAATATCTACGATCAAATTTTAAATACTTAAATTTCTAAACAAAAATAATAATTGTTAAATTAATGTTTGAATGCATAACAGATATCAAATTTCTTTGTTTCATTACTAATAGCAAAGTCCCTTTAAGGCAAGTCATTTTACTTGGCGGCCGTCTTTGAAACTCCTCTCAGGCATTCTATCTAAATGGGGAACATCAAATTCTCCAAAATTGCTTGCCAAGCTTACGATTACATTTCATATTAGGAATCACCAATAAAATTAAACAACAACTGTCTCTTTAGTTTCATTTTCTAAACATCCAAATCATTCATTCATTTCTTTTTGGCTTAGTCCCTTTATTAATCTGGGGTCACCACAGCGGAATGAACCGCCAACTTATCCAGCATACGCAGCGGATGCCTTTCCAGCTGCAACCCATCACTGGGAAACACCCATAGACACTCATTCACACAAACACATACACTTATTCACAACGGCCAATTTACTTAATCAATTCCCCAATGTTATGGTTTATTAGATTTCAAATTTAATATGTAAGTCTAATTTAGTATTTTGGTTATTGTTAATAAATAATGCACCAATGTAAATCATATCAAAAAACATGAAAGGAAAAGGGAACACAAGACACAAATTGTGGGTCTGCATATAATTTCTGAGACCGCTTAAGAAAATGTGTGTGTGAGCAGTGCACATTTGAGAGCGTGAGAAAACTTGTGTGCAAGCAGCGTATATTTGAGAGCTTGCAAGCAATTTTGTCCATGAAATCGGTGCACGGGCACCACACAAGGTTGAAAGCTAAATTCTTCAATGTTATGCAAACAAAACAATGTTACTGTTTGTATGAAGTAGTCTTCTTCATTGAGAATATGTGCTATCATTTTACATTGCTGCAGATTTGCGTCTAAATCTCTTTAGCACACATGAGATTCAATTAACAAAATAAAAACTTTACTCTATTTTACTTTGCAGCATACAGGAGTTGTTGGTCTACTGCCGCCTCATTGAGGTGGTTTATGTAATTTTAGTTAATCACAAGTTGATCACCGAATACATATATAATTAATTGTTTTTTTATTTTATTTAGATGGCCAAATTCTGATTGTGGAAAGAAAATGCTGGGCAGGTTGTTATTTGCTGAATAAATGACAATAAGCCACGGTTTTTAATTTAAAGCTTTAACAGATTCCTTTTTTTCTGATAATAACTGATGTAGTAAATCTGTATTTTAAAAATATATATTTTTTTTACATTTCTTTATTCTAAATCTTTAGGAAATATTTTGGTAAATCAAAAATTGTGGTTATATCTGACAAGCTAATCCAGCTAAAAACAATGCTTAAAATGACACTAAAATGCAGTATTTACATCTCATAATTAAACAAAAAGTGAGGCATATAACTGCAAAAAAAGGCCCACATTTTGAGAAAAAAAGAACCACCCCTTTCACCAGGCCAGAAGCAGTGGTCCTACTCTAATTCTGGTCTTCTAAACTTCTAGTAGGTTGGACTTTCTATTTAGGTAGTCTAACCTAAATCACCATGGATTAAAACTATTATTCATTAACAAAATTGTATTTGAATAAAAATATGTTTAGTTCAGTTAAGGGCGAAGCAGTGGCACAGTAAGTAGCGCTGTCACCTCACAGCAAGTGGGTCGCTGGTTCGAAACTTGGCTCAGTTGGCGTTTCTGTGTGGAGTTTGCGTGTTCTCCCTGCGTTTGTGTGGGTTTCCTCCGGGTGCTCTGGTTTCCCCCACAGTCCAAAGACATGCTGTACAGGTGAATTAGGTAGGCTAAATTGTCCATAGTGTAAGAGTGTGTGTGTGAATGCGTGTGTGGATGTTTCCCAGAGATGAGTTGCTGGGCTGGGAGGGCATCCGCTGCGTAAAAACTTGCTGGATAAGTTGGCGGTTTATTCTGCTGTGGCGACCCCGGATTAATAAAGGTACTAAGATGACAAGAAAATGAATGAATGAATGAATGTTCAGTTTATAACAACTTCTCACATTATGAATTTTCAATGCAAGTCATCAAGTTGACAATGGCAACATTTTCAAATAAACCATTCCATGAATTAGGCCAAAATCTCTTTATTTAATATTCGCTTGTCCTTGTTTAAGCTGTAATTTGATTTTAGTAAATACTGAAACCAAGACAACAATTAGGTATTCTCAACAATTAAACAACAACTAAATCCAAGATATCTACTCTCAGAAAGACTGGATTTTTAGAGTTCTAAACCCAAGCACGTCAACGACGTCTCATGTTATTGATGGTTTGGCTCACTGTGATGTACACGGACACCACTAAAGCTGTCTTTCATGCTGCTCCACAGATATTTCATCGCAGATCCTGTCTGACAGTTTTTTCTGTTTGATCTGCAGCGCGGACGGAGACTTTGCGGTGACTCACTTGACAAAAGCTCAGGTGTTTTACAACGGGAGAATCAAATGGAAACCTCCCGCCATCTATAAAAGCTCCTGCAGCATCGATGTCACCTTCTTCCCCTTTGACCAACAAAACTGCAAGATGAAATTCGGCTCTTGGACGTACGACAGGGCCAAGATTGACCTGATCAGCATGGCCAGTGACGTAGACCAGATGGACTACTGGGAAAGTGGCGAATGGGTGATAATAAATGCAGTTGGCACCTACAACATCAAGAAATACGAGTGCTGCACTGAAATCTACCCAGATATCACCTACTCTTTCATCATCAGACGCCTTCCTTTGTTCTACACCATCAATCTCATCATCCCCTGCCTGCTAATCTCCTGCCTGACAGTCCTGGTCTTCTACCTCCCCTCAGAATGTGCTGAGAAAATCACGCTGTGTATATCTGTCCTCCTATCCCTGACTGTCTTCCTCCTGCTAATCACCGAAATTATCCCTTCAACCTCATTGGTCATCCCACTGATTGGCGAGTACCTACTGTTCACCATGATCTTCGTCACTCTGTCCATCATCATCACGGTGTTTGTACTCAACGTGCACCACCGTTCGTCTCGTACGCACAGCATGCCACACTGGGTCCGTCAGCTATTTCTCCACCTGGTGCCTCGTTACCTGTTCATGAAACGTCCACCAGCCTCGGGCAAGAGAAACTGCGGGAAGCTGATTGAGATGATGCACAAACAGGCTAATTCGCAATCTATGTTTCTGCGGAACAACATCCTGGATATCTCTCCGCAAAGTCCGATCCCGCATTTGGGACCTACTTCAGCTGCCCAGCAGGATCAAGTTCAGCAGGACTCAACTTCCCCCAAACCCCTGTTTTTCTGCAGTTCCCCCAGCAGCCAGTATTCAATCCTTCAAGAGGAAAACTCACAAACCCCCCAAACACCAGTTCTCAGCTACACATGCGCATATACAAACAGCATCTTCGCCTCCAGCACAACTTCCTTTCCAGATACTCTCCTTGGCACCCTGCTGCACACCATACCGCAGGACGGAGCCAAGAGCACAGAATGCGATTTCCAAGGCCACAGTGCTGAGAGTGTCTTCATGGAAGCCAAGGAGAGTGTTCTGGGAGCAGGGAGTTGTCAACACTGCCTTACGTCTGAAGGGACGAGTCTGCAGAAGCTTGATCTCGATGAGGCAGGGAGGTGTACCAGACATAACATGCCCAGCGCTCAGATCTTCAGCCCCAGCAGTGACGGCTCCACTGATCTGAATGCAGCAGAGCCAGTCAGCAATCTGTCTCAGTCCCTGCTCAAAGCCTTGGAAGGAGTTCAGTACATCGCTGACCATCTCAGAGCCGAGGATTCAGACTTTTCAGTAAGTTTTACCATTTGAAGGCACAATATGTTCGATTTTTGTAACACATTACCATAACAGCACATGAATAATGGTGTACTACTCTAAAAAATTATTAACTGGATTTACATTTTTTAGGGTAAGTGGTTGCAAACAATTTATGTGGACTGAATTAAAAGAAACAAATTCAATTCAGTAATGTTCAACTTAATTTGATTGCTTAAATTCAGCTCATATAAATTGCTTGCAACCACTTACCTTAAAAAAATGAGTAAATACAATCAATATTTTTTTCAATGTTATATGTAAATTAAACGTTTTATTATTAACTAAATCTGAGTTATGCGCTAACCAAGAACTAACTTAAACTACAACACAGTCACATGAGTTTATGTGTGAATAATGGCTACCTTATTACTTGTTAGTACATATTTGTTAATTCATGTATTAATTAACTCCTTTGTTTAAGCTATATTTAATCTAAATGAGTCCCACTTTGTATTAAGAGTCCTGAACTACTATGTACTTACATCAGAATACAAATACAGTGTACTTAATGTGTTTAGAACGCATTGCAGAACACTTCTGGTGCTCTTTGCATGAGATACAGGTAGGGTTAGGCATAGGTTTGGTGATGTGGGAGGGTAATGCCAACCCGGGCTCATTGTGGAAACGTAGCCCCGCGGACGTTTCTGCGGACCGAGATTTACGTCCCGGGAGGTACGTATTCGAGCGTTTTTTTGTTTTCGCGGATCCGCGAGAGGCCGCTGTGCGCACTTTTTTGCATCTCGGGCAGGCGCCTCTCAGGAGTGCGCAGCGTTTGCGCCCGCGCCGTTCTCGTGCGAAAAGCCGTCGGATCGGGGAAAAAAAAAAAAAGCAAAAGCCCTCGATTTCGACCGCGTTTTCGGATCCCGCCGCATTCTCGCCCTCATTTTTCGGATTCCGTTTTTGGTCTCACCTGATTTCCGGAACCTGCTGTTCCCCGGACTCGATCCCTGTCGTCGTCCACCGCGGCCGGCTCCTCCTCCTCGTCCGGGGCCTCCGCTCCGCCGACGCAACGCTGTGAGCTAAGCGGACAAACTGATTGCGTCGGAAAAGCCCTCCACTCGGAGGCGAGCCGTCGGCCGGCGAGCGCGAAGAGGAGCGGCGCCACACCGCCCCGCGGCGTTCGCTCGAAAAAAACCAAACGCGGCCTTTACGTACCTCAGGCCACGTAAATCGCGGTCTCCAGAAACGTCCGCGGGGCTACGCTTCCAGAATGAGCTTGGGTTGGTTAATGCAGTGCTCACACCAGACATGGCATGGATAAAATGAACTATTCACGCATAATTAGTAGGGATGTAACTGTATCAGTATTTCACGGTACAATAATACCTCGGTGTGAATGGCACGGTACGGTATTTATTGAATAATTTACAAGAAAAACAAAACTAATGAAAAGACCCAAAAAAAGTGCCAATAGTGTTTATTTACCTTAGCACTGAACATACCAATGACATACAAATTAGCCATCTATCTGTAAGTTTCGAAACAGGAACTTCAATTTTTCAATTTTAATAACAAAAAACTATTAAACCATATTAAAAAATAAAGTTTCAATTTAGTATTGTTGAAAACTCATCACATCCAACATTTAATCACCCACTTACTGTACTTAGATAGAGATGGTTTTTAATGGAAAATTATTGTATAACTATAATCTGGAAAAAGCTGGGATCTCTGGGCATGTCCCTTGCAACAGAAAAAAAAACCCCTCTCATTTGGGACTGAGGTTTCTGGGACAGAGAGATATGATTTAGCCAAGGTTGACAGCAGTGGGCAACGCTGTGCATTGTCTTTCCACCACTTGAGAGGACAAACCATGAGTGAGATAGAGGTCTCTTTGTGGTACAAGTCAATGTCTGCATCAATCTAACAAGTGTGCTGTGTTCTGCAGTCCCCATGACTGTTTTTAGTCGTATTCCCCGACTTATATTTCACCACAGTCTGGCAGTGCCTGCATACTGTTTTTTTCTTTGTCTGTCTCACCTTTTCTCCTTTTTCGTATCTTTTTAGAAAGAAACCGAAATGCTTCCACACATTCCATTTAAAACCCGCTTTAGGTTCGATCATTTCCAGCTCTCTTTTTTCCCCGCTACTAGCAGCACACTCCATTTCCGCATTACTGGATCTGTAGTGACAACAGACCGCAAAGGATGATGGCCACGCCTGGGCTGATGGGAATTGTAGTTCCCGCTACCTTCCGTTCGCTTCATTCGCCCAAGCAAACTTTTCTCAGAAATATAGTTTTATTGAGTCATGCCCCTACGGTAATATTGAAAAAAATTACTATTGCGGTATGACGGTATTTACAATATTGTTACATCCCTAATAATTAGACTTGTGAACATTTTGAGTTCTCTTGCTTTATTTGCACATCAAGTACGCTTCATTAGCACGTCAAATTCACTTCTCAGTAGACGCGGATTCGCGTCATGGGCTGGGCTTCTGTCTGCCCGGTGACTCTAATTTCGTTGCTAAATGGCTAACATGTATTTTATTGAGAGAATAGCTGTGTTTATGTGCTTTAGAAAGGCTGATAAACAGCGTTGATTTTTTGGAGCCATGTATGAGTCCACTAGATCCATCCAGAAGTGCACCCAGCTCTGTGAGTTCATCAACTCTTCCAGAAACTATACATGGACGATGGAAGCTTTCGGAGGTGCTTCAGACTAATCCGAGCTTAGTTTTATGAACTGTTGTCTGGTATCGGCAGCAGGATTTTCACCCAAGACATAATTACACCCCTACAAGACAAAGCTCATGATTGGTTAACGTGGCACGAATGTTCAGATTTTCACACAAGTGGCGCTTCATTCACGCAAATCTCGTCTTTCGCGCTGCCTAATTCGCACATATCACACTGCAGGATGTCTATTCTTGCCTTTGCATTGACTTAAGCAAGCGTAAGTAATGTAAAAACATGTATTTACACAATAAGTACAATGTAACAAATAATTAATTTCCGTGCAAGTACATATTAATTAGGGCAAATTAATATAAAGTGGGACCCCAAAAAAACCTGTTTATGTATGTTTATGCCATCACTTTACTTGCAGGGGCAAATTCTTATAACCTAATTTTTGACTACTCATTAACATCACACATTTGTCTAGTAGTGCATGTCAACATTGAAAAAAACAATAGATAGTGTTCTGTTTACATCAAAACCAGGGGTGTCAAACTCATTTTAGCTCAGAGGCCACATGGAGGAAATAACAGCAAGCTTTTTATCAGACTACTGATTATTTTATATGTTCCTCTTTGTTTGTTTGTTTGTTTGTTTGTTTGTTTGTTTGTTTGTACCTCTAGCCCAATCCTAAACCCAATCGTCATAGTAATGTAAAAACAGATCTGGATCTGGAGTCTTCTCTATTAGTATAGCTCATTAACCATGTGGAAGGATGATAACAGCCTTCTAACGCCTATTCAATTGAGTGATGACATTCAAAGTGTGTGGGAAAACCCAGTAGCCATAATATCAAATTATAGCAAGCAGTCTATTCAGCATACTTTGTAAAAAATCCATTAGTTTACTATACTTATAAATAGAGTAAACCCACTGTTTTCAAGCAATTAGCTGACTTAAAAAAGTAATTAAAGCTGTTGCCTTAAAATTATGTAAATTAACTAAGTAAATAAATTAACTAAGTACATTAACTGTGTATAATTATAAAAATAGGACTTAACAGTTATAAAAAATATATATATATATATATATATACAAAACATAAATACATTCAGAGTCAAGGGCATTAATACATACAGACAACAGGTTTACTCACTTTTTACGTAAAGATTCAAGATTCAACTTCTCTGATTGTATGAAATGAAAAAGACAAAAGTCATTTGGAGTTGAAACGGCTTGAGGTCTATTTTTGGTCACACTTTATTTTGATGGTTCGTTTGTTGAATTTAAGATATATTGCATCTACATGCCAACTAATTCTCATTAGATTATATGTAGACTGTTAGGGTTGGGGTTAGGGTTAGGTTGAGTGTAAGTTGACATGTACTCGCAAAGTTTCTTTCAGCCAGTTAAATGTCTGTTGAAGGAGCAGTATCAGCAAATATTAAGCAGACAGTCTACTAATACTCAAGTGGACCATCAAAGTAAAGTGTTACCCTATTTTTGTTTATGGAAGAAGTGCAAAATAAAGTACAGATAAATTAAATGAAAATAAAAAAGGAGCGCAAATTAGGGTTTTTAATGTTTACCTGCTAAAAGGAACTTTGAAACATGTCTTTAGGAAGAGATTCTCCTCAAGTTCTTCCGAGACACTTTCAACTGGCCTTTGATTCTTGTATTATTTTTTTATCACCGCTTGCTATACTACAAAAACCAGAAAGTACTGTGGTCTCACAGGAAGGTAGTCATCCAAAAAATCAATTCTGAGAGGCAAAGACATGAGTGGAAAATATATCATGATATCTGAAACGAATGAATCTCCTTTTTTCCACCAGGTGAGGGAAGACTGGAAATATGTTGCCATGGTGATTGATAGAATATTCCTCTGGATGTTTGTGCTGGTGTGCATTTTGGGGACCGTCGGACTGTTCCTCCCTCCGTGGCTCGCTGGGATGATCTAGAACATCATGCGGAGTCTTTAACTGGCCTTGTCAATCACACTTGACTGCAGTGACCTCATTAAACATCCGCTGGCATGGAAATTAAGTGATGTTTAATGTCAGTGCTTTTTTTTATGTAACAGGAAGTTATTTATGGGATTCTGTTTTGGGTTAAATGTGAGTTGATGATTAATTAAATGAAAATTGATGTGATTATTTACTCTCTCCTTCTTTTTAAGACGACTTTTTTTACATGCAAAACAAGAAAATTTTCTGAAGACAGTTCTGGTCTCCCTTTTCTATGTATAAACATGGAAATACTAAGAAATACTAAATAAAAAAAATACTAAAGTTTAATAAAATTTTAATACTGTAATCCTTTAATTATTTAAAAAAAATTTATGTTTGCTGTTTGTTCAAACTAACTTATTTAAAATGAGTTGAAACAATACAATAGTTGGGTATTTTGGCGAACAACCTAATTATTCAACATAATTTTGAAAATGTAAACCTATATACGTTCCTGGAGAGTGCGAATTAGATACCCAGATATACGTATGGTGGAATTTCGCCTTTAAAAAAAACACTACTGGGGTTGAGTGGTTGGGGGGGGGGCTTACCTCCATGTGGATGGCTATTCTGCTGTTAACAATTTGTCCAGTGACTCGCCACATATGTCGGCAGACTTGAGACACAGAGAACTTGACAGCAACTTTGAACCGAATAGTTCCAGTAAGCAGTTAAGACAAAAACAAAAGCCAAAAAATAAAATAAACAAGTAAATAACAGGGTGAGAGTGTGGTAAAATTTGAAAACGTGGTAAAAATCAGGTAGCGAGGGCTTTTCGTTTTCTGGATTACTTTTAAATACTGACGGTTGGATTTAGAAAAGTGGGTGGGCGAGTCAATCGGTGGTTTTGAAAACACTATTGGTTGGGTTTAAGGAAGGAGGAGGGTGGGTCAGTCGATCGCATACCTGCCAACCCTCCCGTTTTTTCCCAAGATTCTCCCGTATTTTAGACCAATCTCCCGCAACCCTCCCGTTTTGTTATTTCTCATCAGTAATTCAGTCAGTCAGTCGACAGCGGCCAGGTGGATTTACGCGAGAACAGTAGGCACGAATGGCACTTGCAAGAGAAATTTGAGATCTTAAAAAGTGTACACAGCGGCCTCTGGTGGGTTTACATTGAAACAGCAGGCACGAATGACACTCGCGAAAGAAATTTGAGATCTTAAAAAGTGTACACAGCGTTCTCTGGTGGACACACGCAAGCAAAAACTGCAAACAAAAACTGCAAAAAAAAAAAAAAAACATAGCTCCTGGGACGTATTTGGCACTCTCCAGAAATGTATTTGGCGGTATGTTTTCAGAATGAGCCTGGGTTGTAATTGTTTTATGTTTAATGCACCTAAACTTGTAAAAAGAATGAGCTAGCTTAATTCTATCATGTTGTTCCAACACAATTGAATTGTGTGAAACCCAGCATTGTGTGAAATTGTGTGAAACCCATCATCATGTCTTAATAATTATATATATGTGTGTGTGTGTGTGTGTGTGTGTGTGTGTGTGTGTGTGTGTACATGGAAAAAAAAAATTTTGAAGACCATATATGAAATTACTATTTAAGAAATGCAAACATAAGTGGAGATTTCAGTGAAATAAGACAAAAATACTATAATAATAATCAGTCTTCTGAAATCTACAATTTTGGAAAATATGTTTATACAAAATGTATGTAAAATAAGGAGAGTTTTGGAACACATTGGTGGTCCCACTGGATAGCTAAAAACATTATAAGACCATCAGCCTATGCACTGTGAACAAAAAAAAAATAATTCAGACTGCCCTATTTTTTTAAGTTGAATCAAATTAACCTTATGAGTCATTAAAACTAATATTATATTAAACTGACCTTGCCTTATTGTTGGGGATGTTTTCATCCACTCTGGGGTGATTTTGTGTCTTAATTTGGCCAAAACTTTTTCTGTTTCAGCTAGCAGAATAATTTTTGGTAACAAATCTTATTTTGACACAAAATGCTTTGAAATTTAAAAATCAATGATACACTCTGAGCAAATGTAGTACCCTTTTGCCATGATGATTAGGGATGAAAACATCCACTAAATCTATCTAAAGTTATATATATATATATATATATATATATATATATATATATATATATATATATATATATATATATATATATATATGATCTTTTTGCATGAATATGTTAAATTATTTCCAGTCCTGATCAAAACTACTAAAATGTTTATAAAGTTACAGGACTTTAACTCTTTAATTGGCAAATTCATAAATAATGTCACTGATTTGGTGAAAAACACACAAAATTACGTATTTTCAATATAAAAAGTAATTTTGGACTGGATTTTCTTTACCTTTTATCACAGTCTTAGACACGTGAATAATAGTAACAACATTGCCCTTGATGCATTGTTTTTGACTGATTTTCATTTTATCACCCTAATTTACTGTTGGTGGCTGTTTTTGCCCTATTGACTTCCATTATAACCACATTTTTTTTTATTACAAAACAAAAAAAAGACAAAAAAAAGCGTAGGTTCTGGATTTTAAATGAAGTTTAACAGCAAATTAAAGTGTGTGTATGTGTGTCTGAGTGTGTGAGAGTGACCTTTAAACACTTACATTGATGTATCTGAGAAAATCAAAACATGCATCGCAGCTCTCAAAACTGTCTGAGTAAACAAAAGTAAACAAAAACTGTCTATTTATGCACCATCAAATATAATGGAAGTCAATTGGGCAAAAACACCCGCCAACAGTAAATGACGGAGAAAAAATAAAAATCGAATGTATCAAAGCCATGTTGTTACTAATCGTTCACATGTCCAAGACTGTGATTAAATGTAAGAATAAAATCCAGTCAACTATACTTTTTATATTGAAAATACGTCCTTTTGTGTGTGTTTTTTCAACAAATCGGTGACATCATTTGTGAACTTGGCAATTAAAATGTTAAAATCCTGTAATTTTCTTATCAATTTAGTAGTTTTGTTCAGGACTGAGGTTGATTAACAGATTAATGCAAAAATATGTGTTTACAGCAGTTTAATTTAGTGGATGTTTTCATGCCGAACATAACAAAAGGGTAGTAAATTTGATCAGTGCTTAAGTGTTAAAACAGTTTGCGTAACTAATCAAATTTAGTTGGAACATGATTATCTTAGTGTAATAAGTAACAATAAACATATGTTATCGTGACTTATTGATCATATAATTTTTTACAGTGTGTGCATTAACTTAACCCATATTTAACCTGGAATATTCCTTTAAACAAACCCCCTGGGTGAGCTAATACAGTCTGTCATCTTAAGTAAAGCAAGTGCAAATTTAATGAGTGCTAAACCTGCTGACATTAAAAACATAGACATCAACAAAAAAGAATAAAGTCTAACTTTAATGGTTTACACTGGGACATGTTTAAATTATTTAAATGAATTGCTTTGCCCTGTTCTGAGCACTGCTTCACGGCGCCTGGATTTCATTATGTGAAAATTACTTACAGGAGATTTCAGCTGTGAAAGGTAACAGCAGATAAAATTGTGCAATAGTCTGTCCTGAAGGTGATATGAATTTATAATGATCATTTTTCCAAGGTCTTCTTGTATTACTGCTTTTTGCCTTTACAAACACTCAATATTGATAGCAAAAATGTCCTTCGTAGTTGGTGAAACTGTACCAACACTAAGCCCATACTTTGTGTACTAACACTATTTATGCCCATATTTCAGCTTAGTCTCTTTATTAATCAGGGGTTGTCACAGCAGAATAAACAACCAATTTATCAAGGATATGTTTAACGCAGCATATGTTTAGCTGCAACCTATCACTGGAAAACACCCATACACTCTCATTCACACACATACAAAGAAGCAACCAGAGGAAACCCACATGAACACGAGGAAAACATGCAAACTCCACACATTAATGCCATCTGACCCAGCCAGGGCTCAAACCAGTGACCTTCTTCTTGTCAGGCAATCGTGCTACCCACTATGCCATCGTGACGCCCCAGATTTTGGCATAAAAACCTTTATTTTATTTTTTTAATCAGCTAATCTAAATGTTTGCAAATGGTAATTATGACACATTTTTTATAACAAAAATGTATCTGTACATTTGAATTGCATTATTGTTATTATTTTGAAGCTTGTTAAGCTTTTTATGTTAAACAATTTTTTACCTTTTCATTAGTTTGAAGAAATGTTTTGTCCGGGTAGGTCATGGAAATTGTAGTACAAAACCAGTATTAAATATATATCATGGATATTTTGCAGATTTATTTCTACGCTGTTAAAAACTATCTGTACATTTGCTGTTTTCCATATTTTGTGTTTTGTGTTTTTATTTATTATTTTCCCCCATTTATTTCTGCTTTTGAATTGCATGGTGGAACCTTAATCTTGTTTCCAACAACTTTAAAAATTCAAACGTTAAAAAAGTGACTTTTATTTTACATATTGAATAGTTTAAAGTGATATATTGTCTGGGTTCAGACCCGTAGCCAGCCTATTAAAAGGGGAGGTTATTTTTTGCTGAAAAAGTGGACCCATATATTCACCTAATTTTCTATTCAACTGTGCATTTTGGTGACATTTTAAGAATTACTCTTTGCTGAATCAACTTGTCAGATGGTGATCATAGACACACATTTTTGATGCACCAAAAAATATTTCCAACAATTTTGTAGAGAATGCTCATATTTATTTACAAATTTGGATTTAAACTGTAAGTTAATCCAGTTTTAAAATAGTGTTATGAAATTAGCATTTACAAAAACGAATAAAAATATATATATAAAAAAACATATTTTTAAATACAAATCTATTATCATCCATCATTTAAAAAAAGTAATCTGGGCAAACTTGTTTAAAAAAAAAGCCCTATGGGCAAATTAAAACTGGCCAGCTCATTTAACTTTCCGCAGAAATTGGCCACTTGAATAATTACAAATTAAATTTGTCCTTAAACCTTCCAAGCTCATTCTGGAAACATAGCCCCACGGACGTTTCTGGAGACCGCGTTTAGTTTTTTTCGAGCGAACGCTGCGGGGCGGTGTGGCGCCACTCCGCCCCTCCTCTTCGCGCTCGCCGGCCGACAGCTCGCCTCCGAGTGGAGGGCTTTCCCGATGCAACCAGTTTGTCCGCTTAGCTCACAGCATTGCGTCGGCG